CTTGGTTGGGATCTCGCCGTCTCTTACCCACCCTGGACCTATGACCAGGATCCAGCTTCCAGTGGATAGACCTTTCTTAGTCCAGAGAGCTTAGCAGGAACAAGCTATTACAAGAGCTTAGTGATTATACTCAGGGGAGTGTTGTAGAATTATAGAATTCTTGAAATTATCTAAGCTAATGCTTTGGCAGGAAGAAATGTGCTGAATAATAAAATGTGTATTTACTAAAAGAACCTTGAAACTAACAATACTAACTACTCAAAATGGCTGCCAAAGCACCCCTCCCATCGAGTGAACACCTCGTGCTAACAAGATGGCGCCTACATCTTGTGTCCACTCCCGTGTCAAGGATGACACCACCTCTTGATGGGAGGGCATCTAACTAACCACTTAACACCTGGACCAATTAATAATGTTTATTTGCTGTTATCTTGAAAAATGCCTTTATAAGGGTCTGCACACCCATTATCTGTTAGAATCCATTAAACTTTTCTGAAGTTCTTTCATTAACCTGAACCCTGTGTCTCAGTGTGAATTTACTTCTGCGTGCACGCAACTTTATTATCTTTAATTTGGACAGGAACAGATAGTCATTCAAATTTATTGGTTTGCAGAAAATAATCTACTATAGGAGTATAGTGATTATAGCAATCCCCCAGCGTGTAGTTCTCCAATCCCCCAAACATGAGCCGAAACTTCATGAATGTGCAAGATGATCTGAGCTTTAATGGTTCAGGTCCACCCCCTGGATCTGATGGGGCACAGGAACACAAATGACATGAACCAATCAGAACATACATACAGTCTGTGACACGCCCATGTACAGCACACAACCCCTCTGCTTGGGAGATAATTGAGTAAAGTCCTGTAAGTAACTCAATTATCTCCAGGCAGAAAAAACACATTTTCACAAAGTTCAGAAAGGACCCCAAAACATAACATACCCCCAAAAATGTTACATATACAAAAATCACCCAGATCAGAGCAGGGGTTCATGGAAGTCTCTTTTTGACTGGCTGCAAGCATGGCTTCATGTCCAAAACAGTTCAAGGAAATTAGGGCCAGCGGTCGTTCTCTCTTTGTGGAGTACAAAAGTACTTACATTACATGTTAAAGTGTATTGGGCAAAATATCTTGCAGAGCCCATAGTCACAGAGTAGGAGGCAAGCAAACAGGCCCCTCCGAAAACTCGTGGCAAACTCAAAGAAAAAGGGGATTTGTCACAGTTCCCTATTCCTAGCTTTCAGGGATCTCTCTGTGCCTCCTACTAATAGTTTTTCACAAGGGCGAGTTTTGTAGGTGAGTTTTAATTTAATATTTTTTCTCTAATTTACTGTCAATAGGTTTAGACTGTAATTGGCCATTTAAAATCTGAGAATTGGATCTCCTTGTAAGATATTCCAATGCTTATTCTGAAAAAACATTCTCCTTTAGTTTTCTTAATTAAGGTTTCTTCTCTTTTCATATCGATGGATAATTTGAAAGTATTATCAAGGAGATCATTTTTGTAATCTTTATTTAGGAATTGTTGTTTCATTTTATTTTCCAAAACTGGCACCAAAACTGTGCATTGCTACTAGGCCATAGATATAACCTTATATAAAACTATCACTATTATATAGACACCACCATAATAAGAAAGAATTTCATCTGGAACTCCAAGCTGGAGTAATGCACATTGAAAGATATGAAATTGTTAAATTCAATATTTAGATTGCTCACTTTGTCAGTGATTTCATTATTTCAAATGTCATGGTGGAAAGACACAATTATTTAAGCCCTGCGTTATATTTAAGTCCTCTGTTATGTTTAAGTGTGGATGTATTTATATATAAGTGCATGATATACTGTATTGTTTTGTGTATGACTTGCATGGCTGAGAACTTCAAACTAACAATGCTTATTTTATAAAAGAGATGGCACAGATTCCTGCAGAGTGCGCAGAGGCCTTGTGAATCATTGAATTTGTCTGCTGGTAAGGGTTTCATTGTCATGAATTTTGTGATTCCAGTAACTGTGAGCCAGAGCTATCTATTGAGTAGTCTATTGGTCTCAGCAGGTCCTTTCCGAGGAAAATCCAAAGTGCTATATAATACACAAACTGTAAACAGAGGCTTGGTTAATGGTTAATGAACATTGGAAGACTACTGCATTGAATACCCACACATCCCAAGTCGGGGATTATACCGTCCAAGCGCTATAGAGCAGAGCTCTTAGTAGCTCTAGAAAGTGTGAGTTAGTATTTTATTGTGTCAAATCCTTTAAAATAGATGTGACATATTGCACTATTATTGTTTCTTATTCTGCTCTGAGGTTCTCTAGAGACAGAAACTGTTGACCTCCAATAAGTGTATGTATAGATCTTAGAACACACTGGTTCTTTGTATACATTTCTATGTTTTGGTGTGGTTTACCACATCCTTTTTTGTACTTTATGCAAAGTTTGGAATACCTGCTGGTTCACTGTTGCCGTCCACTCTATTATTATAGCGTGTGCCTGTTTGTGCTTTTGTAGATCCAGTCGAAAATAACAGAGAGGCAGTCAGAGACACGATTCAAGAGGGGTGGTGAGAAATCAGGGGATGACGGATACATTTGCGTGTCATCACATAGAAATCATACTAGAAGCCGAAGAAGCTCATGAGTTTACCAAGGGAGGCAGGGCTGGACTGGGTATGAAAATCAGCCCTGGAAAAAATTACATACCAGCCCCATAGCATTGCGTAATTATACAGGCACAACATTATTTTCTTGTTCATAAAAGGTAAAATCATGCATTTTAAAGCACATTTGAAGAGTGAATTATTTATAGATAAGAGATATAAAAGCACGCAAGGCCTTATACATAAAGCGTAAGAAAAGTGTAAACGTGGAGCAATCATCAAGAGTAGACCATTTATTGCTAGGGTGTTTAGACTACATTTAGAACTTTGCCCCACAATAGCTCTTTATGTAGAACCTCCATTGTTCCAAATATCATAGTAGACCATTATCCCATGCAATTGTGTCTGCCCCATCAAAATTGTCCAAATAAAGAATAATCAAAGAGCTTTACCTCAAAGTATAGAAAACACAAATGGTTTCCAAAATGTATTAACTTAACATATATAAATTACTCATAAACACACAAAACAGTAGTAAATGCAAATAAACTTTTAGAGGTAACAAAAAGTACAAATGTTATACTAGACAGTAATTAAATATTTTAACAGTTATAATAAACTTGCTGTTAATTCTGTAACAGTACAAAATGTGCGAAAACCTTTGAAATTCAATAAAGTTTAAATACCTTGAAACATATTGCTGACTAGCTTTCAAGTCCAATTTTAGAACAGGAACATTGTACCAGTACCATGGCAAGCAACCCAACAGTTTTCAAAATGTAATGTACAAACATTACTCAAAAAAGTGCTTTAAAACAAGTAAATTAGTTTAACAGTAGATAAAAACAGGGCTCATTACCCTTTAGGACAGACCTGTCTAACCTGTGCCGCCCAGATGTTGCTAACTACAACTACCATGATTCTTTTAATGAAACAGATGGCTATGGAATTATGCGAGTTGTAGTTCAGTAACATCTGGGGAGGGCGCATGTTGGACAGCCCTGCTTTAGGAGGTTGCAATGTGTAAACTGTTTTCTAAAGTTTTAGAGGATAAAATATGTAACAACTTTTAAAAGTAATTATAACTTTAAAAAAAAAACTAATCCAGTTAAAATTTAGAAAAATAAATATTGACCAACATTGTAATTTACTGACATACTTGTAAGTTATGTAAGCAACATCCCTTGTAGCAAGCTGCTTTTCAAAGCCAAAACATCAATGATGGTTTCATTGCTTAGTCCAATCAAGGCCTCTTTCTCCATGGACATTAGCATAAAGGCTTCCAAATGTGTTTGAGAGAGGGAATTTCTCAGTCTGTTCAGATGTATTTAAGTTTTGAAAAAGACCTTTCACATGCTACTTGCGAAGAGAAAAGCGTCAGTCATTAAAAAGTGAACTATACGTTAGACTGTATAAGTTGTAACTCAATAATACATTGTAGCAGCAGGCTATACAGCTCTTACAAGTTTTGCCCTTTCCACTTTTATGACCAACATTGGAGTATGGCTGTTCCTCAGTTTCAGAGATAAGATGAGAATGGATGGTGTCTTCATCTTGACCTTCATTGTTAGCATCAGTATATTCTTCATCAAGTGACATTTTCAATCTTTGCCACTTTGATGCAAAATCAAGTAGCTCACTTTGCAGTTTCTCTTTAGTTGCATTGGAGTCAAATTTAATAACAAGGCTACTCAGTCGTTCTGATGCACTGCTGGGAAGGTCTAGTAAAATATCTTCAACATTTTGGGATCTAAACATGCCAAATCTGCAAATAACTGACCATGTGTTGTAAATCGGCTATGCAGACTATTAATGATCTTGTCCAAGCTCACATTGTACACCTCCACCCGGAACTGATCACTTGCTAACAGAATTAGTTCGTCTACTGCAAGCTCACCAGCCATTCTTTTCTTACGTTGTATTCTTCGAGGTGATGGAAAGTCTTCCTCAATCAAAACTTTGCAGTCGGTTGTATCCAACTTGCTGTTTGTCCAGACTGCAAACTTCTTTGCAGCATCTATAATCATTTGGGAATCACGATCATGTGTTTGCAAGTTGTTTACCGTTTCTGTCACCATTCGGTATGCCTGCAATACATCCATACCTTGTGTTTGCAGGTACAAGGATAGCGGAGTGGTATTCTTGAAAACAAATAAGTACAGATGTACCATTATAAGTGTGTGGAATTTTTTGAGGGATTCTAAGTAAGTTCCAGCCTTGTATCTGGTAGCCTTATTTCTGCCATGGTCTGGATCAAATCTACATACAAGGCTTGACTTGAATCATTAAACGAACCAAACACCTTTGTAAGTGCTGCATCTCTGGACCACCATCTTGTTTCTCCAATCACAGAAAGAGATCGAAATCTTTCTTCCTGAGACTTTTCACGCCATACATTCATCCGAAGGTAGGATTCACGGATAAATACAGCACAGAGTTTAACAAGCCGAACAACAATATTGCCTGAACAGATATCTTTGTGACATCCATCATCACCAAATTGAGTATAAATGTATAGCACCACACATGAATCTGGCCAGGTGCTTTATTATTCAGCCATGTGCTGAATCCGTTGTACTGACCCTGCATATTAGAAGCTCCATCTGTTGAGTTCCCAACACAGTTCGTAACCTCAATTTCCATGGATTCCAATACATTGCAAACCAGTTCACACAAAGCCTTCCCTGTCGCGGATGTGCAATTTACCACAGCAACCAGACGTTCATGGACCACATCTGTGACATACCGAATTATTATTGAACACTGGTCTGAGACGTTTATATCCTGTGTTGTATCGAGCTGTATTGAGAACATGCCGGCATCTCTGATCTTTTGGGCAATACCTTTTTTCAAAAGTGCTGAAATTACACAGATGATATTGTTGACTGTAGTTTTTGAAATGAATGTAACAAAGCCACCACGTCCTTTGCTACTTGTTGCACTTAGATGCTGCTTTTTACTTTTTTTAATAACTGTATCAAGGTGATTTTTCAGCAAGGGATCAAAATTGCTTAAGAGTAGCAAAATCTCAAGGAAGTTTCCATGGTCCAACTTTTCATTATCTAACGTATATGCTGCTTCAGCTGTTGCCCGATAGCTTAGGCCTCTTTTTCCAATCAGCTTTATGGTTTCAATTATATGTTTTCTCTTCACTTCCTCTTTTCTGGCTGTTGTTTGTTTCTCAAAGAAATGACTAGATATGTCCATATTCTTTGACCTCATCAAAAAGGATTCAGAGCTATTATTGTGGAGGTTGCTTCTTTCGTGCTCTTCAATTCTCTGGTACATGTGCTTTTCATCAAAGCAACCATCAATAAAAGCACTGTCGTCTGTCTTTTTGCTGAAAGCTAGACACACCATGCAGAAAAAGGCACCGTGTCCATGTGAATAAGTCAACCAGTGACGCTTCTTTCCATCCCTCCTCTGATATAACTTTTGTAGCAGAGAGGCAGTATAATCCACAATATCTCCGCTGGGTAACAGGAACAACAAAGGATAATCCAGGGGAATCAGTACAGCATGCAATAATCCAAGTAGCGTGGTAGTAATCCTTCCTTCCCAAGAACTAGACGACACATAGGCTGGGAGCCAACTGAGGTCTTTATTCACAGCTCCACAATTTATACAATTCCCCATGCAAGGGGTTTCCTGAGTCCTATTCCAGGGGCATTCCCAGAGTGGACTACATGGGAAACTTAATGTACAGAGCTTTTCTCCCATCAGGCACTGCTGCACGAGAGGAATACTCCCACTGGAATGTACCGTTAAGTGGATTTTCCCTCCGTGCAGCAGAACCGAAAATTCACATTAAAATCCATAACTTTTCACATACTTGATAGATTTGAACGAATGGACGTTCGGTAGATAGCTGGGGTCTGAGTACACCGTTCGTGTGAATACCGCTCAGATCCCAGCTAAATCAACCGAACGCCTTACGAAAAACACTTTATTCACAATACAAGTTAAAAATACCGATTGACATAAATGAACAAAACTACCGAACGTCCCGGGACTCCCGAACGCTCTGGAAGCCCAGCGGTGTTCGCGCCGTCGAGTAGCCGTTTTCAGTTCCATGTGCTCGACGACCAAACACTGCTGGGGGAACAAAGGATCCAAGATGGCCGACCGCCGCATGGTCGGTAGTCGAACGGCGGCCACCTAGGAGAGCCTCTAATTACCGATTGCAACATTGTCGGTTAACAATCGGTTAACAAGCGCCACACGCCTCTTAGTGTGTGGGCTATGGAAAGATAGTTCATTCGGTTCACGAACGGCTCCCAAAAGTGCAGTTCGTGAAACGAAATAGAAAATGACTATTAGCGTTCGGCAGATAGCCAATACAAGTAATACAGCAGATGCCAACAGTTACATACACAAAATATACCGGCAACCCTTAAAGGCATATTGTCCCTGTTTAGTCCAAGTGGCTAGGTTTGCCACAACTTTGTTGAATTAGAAGAAAGGACAACTTGTTGACATGGATGAAACAATAGGAAGGAATCCAAATTTTCAGATTTTGGTCTGATAAACCAAATTTTATCATCAACTGTGTCAGACATGCCCTCCTTAAGGCCAACTACTTTTGGAATGTCTTCTTTGTTCATCAGTTTCTCCCTCAACAGGAACTCCAATACTGTGGTGAATAACTTCACCTGCATCGGTATTTATATCCAACTCTACAGTGCTTTGCATGGCGCTATGCATTGCTGTGCTACAGCTAGCGCCAATGTCTTCATGTGGAGATACGGGTGGTAAGTCATGCTTTGTTGCCACTATCTTAAACAAGCTACTGACTTTTTGATACTGGTGTGCATCTTTTTCTAACAGTTTTTTTTTTTCACGTTCTTTTTCTGCTCCACCTTTCTGTTTTTTTTTACTTTCACCCTTCTTATACATGGCAATCACTAAAAAAAGAAGATATATTTGCTATATTTGATTCAAAACACAAATTAATTACATCTGAACCATGGGCAAAACGATCCAGAACAACAGCAGGTAGAGATCAACTGAATAACACAAGCAAGCCTGCAACGGCAGGTAGAGATCAATTGAATAACACATGAAAGCCTGCAACGGCAGGTAGAGATCAACTGAATAACACAAGCAAGCCTGCAACGGCAGGTAGAGATCAACTGAATAACACAAGCAAGCCTGCAACAGCAGGTAGAGATCAATTGAATAACACATGCAAGCCTGCAACAGCAGGTAGAGATCAACAGGAGAATATGTGTGAAACCTGCACTGCAAGTAAAGATAAATAGAATAACATAGGGCTCGACAAATCCCGGGAGCCATGGCACCTAAAATTGCTGCTGCGGGCTCCCAAGTTTTTTGATTGTATTTTAGAAAACTTTACGGAAGTTACATTTCTCTTGCTCCTGATTTGGTGTGGCTCCTCAAGGCTACAGAAGTTTGTCAAGCCCTGGAATAATACATGCAAACCCTGTATTGTAAGTACAACTGGAATGTAGAATTTTCAAGTTGTTGATGATATGCATCATATTGGGCCAAATAAGGTATTGGCACCAAGTTGTTCAACATAATTTTTTCACTTATGCAAACACGATCTAGGTGTTTAAAATAATACATATAACAGTTTTTTTCACTATATTTCTCTGAATGACGTCTCTCCCTGTGCTGTGCCTTGCCTTCTGTGCAGGTCTAAAATCTCAGCCTCAGCAATATTCCAGAGTCCAGGTTGTTTCTGTATCACCTCACTGGTACTGGTACAACAATTAGAAGAAATAAATCACAATGCAGTACTTTACAAATGTGTGAAGTAAAATGTTTTCAAGGGGACACTTCAGGCACCAACACAACTTCATCTAAATGAAGTTGTTTGGATATCAGGATGCCCCCGGAGGGGATTACCTCTACCTTGCTTCCAGCGCTGGTCTAAACTCCTCCCCTAGCAACATCCGGCTTCAGAATTTTGAGATTCAGGAAGAGCGGAGTTCTGTCAGAAAGCTGAGCGCTCTCAGCTAATCAGTGGCGCCTCCCCCAGCAGCACTCCGCGGGTTCCTGACTTTTAAAATTCAGATGGCAAATGCTGCCAGGGGACGAGTAGAGACCAGCGCTGGAGGCAACTTATGGGTTAAACCATTTGAGAACAGTTTAACCTCTTGAGGTAAGAGTGCCTCTGAGGGCCTCCTCCTGCACCCAAACAATGAACTTTTATATAATAGGTTAATAACAGTCTGCCAGCCACTGGCATGTAAAAATCCAGCTAATAAAACACAGACTAAAATCCACATGCAAGGCAAAGTTTAGTTAATAAAAAAACAGTCTAACAGCCACAGCCGTGGCAAAGTCCAGTTAAAGGGACACTATAGGCACCAAGACCACTTAATCTCATTGAAGTGGTCTGGGTGCAGTGCACCTGTCCCATTAACCCTGCATTGTTAATTATTGCAGTTTCTGTTCTCCTCCTCTAGTGGCTGAATAACAGAGATCCATTAAATGACGCTGGACATCCTCACACTGTGCATGAGAACATCCAGTGTCATTGAAAACACAGTAGGAAAGCTGCTTTCCTTGAGAAATGCCCTAATATGTGTGGCGGTTTCAGAATCACAATGACATCGGCAGAGGAGGAGCCTGACCCAGTGCTGAGGGACATTGGCGCTGGAAAGATAAGTGACAAAAGGGTTATTAACCCTTTGCCAGCAGCATAGGCTTGCGAAGCCTATTGCATTAGGGTGTGCATGTATATATATATATAAATATATGTATTTATATATATATATATATATATATATATATATATATATATATAATCAATACAGGAGCACTCCAAAGGATTTTGAAAAATATTTATAGTCCGGTGTTGAAAAATCAAATCATCAACGTTTCGACCCAATGGGGTCTTTATCAAGATTCTGCTTTTGTATGTATATATATATATATATATATATATATATATATATATATATACATATATACACACACATACACTGCTGTGTGTGTGTGTGTTCTGTGTGAGGGTGCTATTAGTGTGCTATGTGGGTGAGGGTGCTGTTTGTGTGTAAGGGTACTGGTAGTGTGCTGTGTGTGTGTTTGTTAGGGTCCTGTTAGTGTGTTGTGTGAGGGTGCTGTGTGTGAGGGTGCTGTCTGTGTGCTGTGTGTGTGTGAGGGTGCTGTTTGTGTTTGTGAGGGTGCTGTTAGTGTGCTGTGTGGGTGCTGTGTGTTTGTGAGTGTACTGTTAGTGTGCTGTGTGTGTGTGAGGGTGCTGTTTGTGTGATGTGTGAGGGTGCTGTGTGTGTGTGGGTGCTGTGTGTGTGTTTGTGAGGGTGCTATGTGTGTGGGTGCTGTATGTGTGGGTGCTGTGTGTGGGTGCTGTATGTGTGAGGATGCTGTGTGTGTGGGAGTGCTGTTTGTTTGCTGTATGTGTGTGGGTGCTGTGTGTGTGTGCTGTATGTGTGTGGATGCTGTGTGTGTGTGCTGTATGTGTGTGGGTGCTGTGTGTTTGGGTGCTGTATGTTTGTGTGTGCTGTATGTATGTGTGTGCTGTATGTGTGATTTGTGGGGGTGGAGGTGGTGTCAAATTAGTTAATAAATATTCCCCCTCCCTACATAAGGAATGTAGGGAGGGGGGACCGTGCTGCTGCCTTCCCTGGTGGACCAGTGGAGGTGGGGGCAGGTTGCTTAATATCCCCCCTCCTGCGGGGCTAGAGTTCACTCTTGCGAGATGTGAGCTTTGCCGAGGCAACGCTCAGATCTCGCGAGAGGAACCCAGCAGAGCTGCTGGCAATAGCTCCCTGGGTCCTCTCCTGCCTCCCTCCTTACACGTGGGTCGTTGGGGAGGGAGGATGAGAGCAGAGCCGGCGCTGCATGAGCCAACAGGGGAGATCCTAAGATCTCCCTTGCCGGTCTCACTCCATAGGCGTGCCGGCGGGATTAGGGTGTGCCCAGGCACACCCGGCACACCCCGTGCGCACGCCTATGGCCAGCAGGTTTGTATACCTAACACTATAGTGTTCCTTTATTGTCTAACAGCCACAAGCTTGGCAAAACCCAGTTATACTCATCTCTACAGAGTATCAACAATGTCAGCTGGGAACTACAGTTCCTATTACACTGAGCCAACCATAGGGCTTAAATGATGCTGTCTAGGCATAACAGAAAGGGTAGCCATGGGGACTCCAACCTGGTAACTGTTCATATTCACATAATCACTGTAAACCAGACGTGTCCAACTCTGAGCCGCTTGTAATGCAGCCCACTTGCCGTCCGGGCTGCTACACTTTAGCCCTCACATAGGGAGGCTGGGTGGCCCTCATAATTACTAAATGTGTGTGTATGTGATTGATGCATATCTTTGATTATGTATATACATGTGTATGTCTTAAGCAGATAGCTCC